TAATTAAAAGTGATAAATTGTAGTGCTAAATGCAAAAACTAAATTGTAATCTCAATTTAACTAAAATATTTCCTAAATATATTTTTATAATCGTTAAAAGTTTTCGAATAAGTAGCTTAAAATAACTTATAATAACAATAGTTAAAAATAACTTTATATAAATGATTATATTGTTACCTTTAAAATCAAAAAACAATGTTTGATATTTTAAATAATTATAATGATAGAAATTAAAACGTTAAACAATAAATTTTAAAATTAACAATAACAGCAACTATAAATAACATTAAACCATATATTATATTTAATTTTATTCATTAGTAACTTGCAGGTAGAAGTCATTCAAACGATTGAGATTATGCAGTTATAATAAATGTATATATTATCATATAATTCAAAATAATCAATATATTATATCAATTTAATATACAAATTATTATATCAAATTTAACAACAACGATATTATTATATTTAAAAAAACATATATTTTTAAAGATTTCAACTATATAGGTCTTTAAGCGCAACACGCGGACATCCGCATAGTGTTATTGTAAGAATATTAATTGTCAAAGATCAATGTTGGGCCTTGGCGATCTTTTTTATTTTTTGGTAGTCACATATTTAATTTTTGACGGTTATTAACTGTCAAAAATTCCTAAAGATCATAGATTTTCAAGAAACACATTCATAAACCAAATAAAAAGGAAGAATTTTATCTGTATCCGTACAAACTTTCATAATTACGTGTTTTTTATGTAAAATTTTAAATTACATATATATCCTTATAAAACCTATAAAATTATATATATATATATATATATATATATATATATATATATACACACACTTAATTTAATCATATTTAATATATTAAAAAAATAAAAACACAATCTTTAAATTAATTTTTATTAATAAAAATATAATTAACTTGTAATAATACAATATTATTTTTATCCCACATTGCTATTCTCAACCTATTTACTTTATGAAGCCTTACAAAAATATTGAAACACATATTGAATTTTTTTTTTCTATCATTTACCTAACTGAATACAGAAGAAGAACAAAACTGTTTAGAAAAAGAATAATCGCATGTCTCGTAAATCGATTATAGGAGATAAACTATATTGTTTAACAATTTTAATATGCAATCAGTGAGTTTTTCTAATAAATTATATGTAGATAACCATATTGTGAATAAGAAAATTGATTATGAGAGAGATTGCAAATAAGTATTTTTTGTAATTTAATTATATTTTTATTTAAGGATAGTGTTTTTATTATTTCAATGAATTACATATGATTAAATTAACTATTTGGATATATATATATATAATATATATATATATATATATATAATTTTATAGGTTTTATAAAGATATATATGTGATTTAAATTTTTACAAGAATATAATACGTAATTTTGAAAGTTTACATTGATATAAATGAAATTTTGCCAATCAAAAAATATGTTTCTATTTTTCTCTTGTTTTTGACAAAAACATGATATGTTGATTTTCTCAAATTCAAGATCAATCTTGAATATAAATTATCGTATTATTTAAATAGATCCCCAATCTACATATCTACATTTTTGTAATCTTCATAATTGAACTACGTTTTCATGATTTGTATATTTAATTTAGTATTCTACAAATCGATCTAAGTGACCGATTAATCACTTGGCGTCTCCATCCGACCACGAATAATGCTAATCGGTTGCATTAAGTGGGCTCGGTCAAATAGATCATTAATTGGGCTAGATGGTCCATTAATCGGTCTAGGCGGTCAATATTAGTCAAAAACATCAAAAACGTCAAAATTATCAAAAAAAATCAAAATCAAAATAAGTCATCAAATCTAAAGAAAAAAAAATCAAAACTGGATAATGAAAAATAACGCATGCTAAACTAAAAATCTAATTTCAACCTCACATCTATTTGTCTCTCGTTATGACATAACGTCTACATTTCTATGTCTCTCTTCATGCCAAATTGCAAATGTTGATGTTGGTTTCTATATATTTGCGCATATAAGGAACCATACTTTATTATTTCTATGTATTTGAGCATATAAAGAATCATACTTTATTATTTGTTTTAGCTTTTACCTAAATGTATAACCTTTGACGTGTATCTAACCATAAAAAGAATCACACTTTGCTATTTAGAATTTGCCCATACCCCTAACTAGTTCTATCTAGGGATGAGATTTAGAACCGGAAAACCGGACCGGAACCGAAATCGGACCGGAACCGGAACCGTTAAAACCGGAATATATAGAACCGGTTCTGGTTCCGGGTTTAAAAATTCGCTTTATCCGGGTTCCAGGTAATCCGGGTTTGGGTCCATCGGATCCGGGTAAACCGGGTCTAAAAACCGGAACCGGTGTTAGGAACCGAAACCACCTTTAGGGCCGGAACCGGTTTTTGTGAAACGTTTAAAAGATGCATATCTCATTCGTTTCAACTCCGATTGACAGACTGTTTTTTACAACGTGTAGTTTAGAGTTTGTACATGATTTTAGACTATAAATTTGTCATTTTTAGTTTTATATTTATTGACTTACGGTCCCCCAAAGTCGAGATATCAAAGCTGAAAGTTTTTAGTTTTTCATTTTTTTTTTGTACTCTGTGAAAGTTTTAAAACATGCATATCTAATTCATTTGAAGTCGGATTGACATGTGGTTTTTCCAACTTGTAGTTTAGACTATAATTTTTGTCATTTTTAGTTTAATATTCAATGATTTACAGTCCCCAGAAGTCGGGATATCAAAACTGAAAATTTTCAACTTTTAAGTTATTTGTTTTTGTACTTTGTATTCTGTGAAAATGTTAAAACTTGCATATCTCATTTGTTTAAAGTTGGATTAACATGCGGTTTTTTCCAGAGTTTAGTTTAGAGTTTGTACATGATTTTTTACTATAATTTGTAAATTTTGGTTTCATATTCAATGAGTTACAGTCCCCCAAAGTCGGGATATCAATATGAAAATTTTCAAAGTTGAACCCACTAAGTAGTAATTAATTACCAAAAAATTCTGTTTTTTCCGGGTTTTCCGGTTCTAATCCCACTTTATCCGGTTCCAACCTACCCACTTTGATGTTTCCGGGTTTTCCGGTTCTAGACCCACTTCACTCGGTACCGTATCCGGAACCGAACCGGAACCGGTTGCTATATACCGGTCCGGTTTCCGGTTTTACAAAATCCCGTTAACCGGTTCCGAGTTTTCCGGGTCCAGGTCCATCCGGTCCGGGTTAGGTCCCACTTTCATCCCTAGTTCTAGCCATACCATATAAAAACATCACTTCATATTTCACTTGCTCCCTAAAATTAAGTGTTGTTTATTTTCTAAAAGGTAAAATGTCGGCAGTTTCCAAACCACATTTGCAAATATCTGCAAAAGAATAGGTGGAAGTATGTTTGTTAATTAACGTCCACCGTTAAAATAAACTGAAATATAAATAAATCGTGATAATTACATCTTTATTTTTTTATGTATCAACCACCACTAAATTGTATATAACCAGTTATAATTAGTCCACTAATCAAAACAAAATTTAACAATATTGTTATGATGAATATTAAAAAAATGATTTTTATTTATTTCTTTTTAGAGCCTTGATGGAATGAACATGCAAAAAGATTAAATGAAAATTTCTAATAAACTGTAAAATGTTGAAATCATAAAAAAAGCAAAGATATAAAAATAATTGTAAACAACTCAACACGTTTCTAAAAAAACTAATTTTGTAAAAACTTCATAAAAAAACTTATAAAAATGCAATGTATGTAAAATAGTAGACAACAAGATCTCTAAAAAAAAGTCAAATGTAAATACAAAGAAATATTCATAAAAACAAATATAAATAAATAAATGTAAAAATATTAATTTAGAAAGCTAATATGTTTAAAAAAGATTTCATTACAAAAACAAAGTTAGTAAAAAAAGTTAACAAAGGTATAAAAGATTTCATTAAAAATGATTAAAGTAATTATAATTTTTTTTAAAGTTAAATATAGTGGAATAGGTAAGAAGAAGCTAGAAGGGGTTAGAAAACATATGATCATCTACGCCCAAGAGAAGACATACCTTGTTAGGTCTATGGTATTCTAAAAAACAGTCTGATGCACAGCATAGACATAAGGCCAAAGGCCAACTGGTATACTGAACAAGAACCCGGTCGTGTTCTAGGTGGCCACGGAAAACCTTCGTGCACACCACCCCGGCATTTCGTGTTCATGGTCAATTGTGGTGCACACAACGAAGGGCGACAGCCAAAAGGGAAAGAAGAAGAATAGTGCATGCAAACTGCGCTTTGGAGGGAAAGAGATAATCAAAATTTTCAGAATTTGCCAGTTTCAATCCCTAGATTTTCGCATATTAACAAAACTTACCCGATTTGATATTGTATTTTTGAATTTAAAAAAATAAAAAAAATGATGTGGAGTGAAATAGTAATGGTGGATATCCCATAGGTTTAGTGATAGTAAATGATGGGTATACGGTCTAAGAGGCCAAGAAAGGTCAGGAAGAGATTTTGCAAAAAAAAAAAAAAAAAAAAAACCACCACCATACACTCTCTCCTTCTTCGATGCAATAATTTGTTTGCAAGATAATTTTTGCTCATGTGCCTACAAATGTCGAATCAGATATTTGGCTTGCAACCATATTTCCAACACCATCACAGATCCTAACTATCATGATTATCATGACATACCTTCATCCTATTCTTCGGTTCCTCACATTAATCTCCAACCAAAAACACTCAATTGGACATTGTAGCTCTTCTAAGAAATGTTGGAAATATGATCATTTTTAATGATCAACACCCTAAAACCTTAACAGATTACCTTTTAAGCTAATTTCTTTTTATAATAAACCCCAGAAAATAAACAATCATGTATGACTCAGTTCTCAAATAAACAATCACATAAACTCGTATCTTTGAAGAGAATTTGTTAAAAAACCAAAAAAAAAAACACAAAAATATTTTCTGTAACAGAAACCACAACACTTCGATTCCACCTAAAAATGGCATATTATGAAAGAAAAAGAAGAGTAGAAGCTAATTAAAGATCCGGCATACCCTTTCCTGTTTTAGCATCAAAAGTCTTCTCCAACACCAGCTCCATAGGAGTATCCTTCGGACCAGCTATTAAAAAAAAAACAAATGGAAAAATATCGTTGCATATTTTGTATTAAAAAAAACAATTTATTGCATAAATATATAAATATATGATTTTACCGATTGTTGGGCGTGGGGTAGCCCTAATTTTCAAAATCTCGGGGCGAGGGATAATTGACCCTGATGCCCCTATACCTCTTGAAACTCTTACTTTACTACCATCTTCTTGATACCTTATCCCAACCTTACATGGCTGCCTACAATTTATTAAAAAAAATATATACACATTATAATTTATAACAATCATCTTATAAGGGTTAAATGCAATTAAAAGTATAAATGAACCCTTTTATTCTTTACTTTGTCACGGGATCGACTATTTGAACATTTGAGACATGTAGAGGGGCTTCTACGGTAAAAATTCCACCTTCATGCCCTTGCCCTTGCTTTATATGCTTCTTTACCTGCAAATATGTTTATCAAGATTAAAGGTCAATTATGGAAAAAATAAAATAAAAATATAGATAATATGAGAGTACTAAATTCTAAACTAACCAAGTTCTTCCCCTCAACAATAACACGATTCTGAGAGCGAATGACACGTTTAATAGTTCCAGTTTCGCCCCTGTCTTTTCCCCTAATAATCATTACCTGAAATAAATGATCAATTTACTCATCCATCAGCAAAAAAGTAATTGTCAAGAATGCCAAGTTTTTTATTATTATTATTATAAAAGCATAACATATTATGTTTTAGAATTTACATTATCTCCTCTCAGAATCTTCCAGTGATGTATGAGCTTCTGAGCTGCTTTCCATCCCATTGTGTGCCAAAATCTGAAATGAACATTCAAGAAGATGTTATTTGATCATGGTATCTGGTATCTTTAATACACATCTATGGTCCATTATTGAGACATTTCTTGGTGTGTGTTGTGGTATATCAAAATTTTCAGAAAGAAAAAAAAAAATGAACCAAGTTGTAGCTACAAGAAAGATAAACTAATGTGGCCTGCATCATGAGTTGCACATAAAGAAACCATGAATGACATTTTACACCTCTTTATAGGCATAAACATGAATTACATTCAAAACCATAAGCCTAAACAAACCATTTACACAAAAACCCTAAAACTCACGTCAAGGAACAAGCTGAAATTGCATCGATTAATACCCAATAAGCAGAATCACAGAAACGCCTCCAATCATAAAAAGATCCCTAAACTTCACATGATATACTGATATAAAGCAAGACCTATGTCTAAAATTGCAGAAAATTTCGATAGAAATGTCACTCTTTAAAGATAAAACGAATACATGAACGTATATTTCAGAAACAAACGCACCAAAGAACGCAAGAATGAGTTGAATGTAATACGGGTTGTAAGAAATAAACCCAAAAATCAAGAGAGATTCTAATGCAAAACAAAAATCACATCCAAATGAAGTCATACATCAAGAAAATCCGATTAAAAACTAAAAATAAAGATAAGAACGAACCTTTCAGGATGCAGCCGAAGAGAGAGAGCCGATAGGAAGCTCTCGATGGAGGGGAAGCGCCAATGGAGGACTACTGTCGCCGGAGAGGAGGGCCGATTGGAGGGTGTCGACTGTCGATTGAGGCTTGGCTGCGTCCGGGTGGCTCGGTGACGTAGAAACTCGAATGTTAGGCCCTATACAATTACAAACAAAGTTTTTTGATTTTGTTTTTCTTTTTGTTGGGCCAAATGTTAGTTCCTGGGTTAGGCTTTCAATTAATTTGATATGAAAGCCTTCTGTACTCTGAAATCCAGAATCATAAAAATTAAAAATTCTCCCTTTGGTTTGTATAATGTTTAAAGAAGATTAAGATCTTCAATCAGAAGGTATGTGAGTACAAAAGGCATTTAATTTATCGATAAGGATTTAATTTAACGGTAAGAAGTGACTCTTTTAAATAAAAAGTGATGAGTTCAACTCTTTTTAGGTGGAGAAATTAAATATCATTTTGTTTTTATTCCTACTTATTATTTAACGATATGAAATAATGACAAGTGTCTTAAATATCTTTCTATTTTGATTCTATTTATCATCCTACCAATATGAAATAATGACAAATGTCTTAAAATCCTGTTAATTTTATCAAAATGTGACACTTGTAATGACATGTAACTAGGGATCATCATTTGGACCTATGGATTGGAAACCGGACTTGGACCAGTTTATTAGATTAAGGCCGGTTTCGGTTCTTTGTCTCATGCGAAAATGGTTCGGATACAAAACTAGGTCTGTCCATCCGGGTCTGGGTACAAAACCGGTTTGGACCGGAATTTTAAAAATATATTATTTCGTTTTAAAGATATATTAGATTTTTAGTTTTTTTTCTTTTTTGTATTTCATATTATGTTAAAATTTTAAAACATGTATTTCTCATTCATTTTAAGTTGGATTGACATGTGATTTTTTCTTGCGAGTAATTTAAAGTTTGTACATAATTTTAGACTATTTTTTTCATTTTTGATTTTATATACAATAACTTACAATCCCCCAAAGTCGGGACAATTAAGCTGGAAATTTTCAGCTTTTTAGCTATTTTTTGTATTTTGTATTTTGTGAAAATTTTAAAACATATGTATCTCGTTTGTTTGAAGTCGTTTTGGCATGCGGTTTTTTTCTGACGTATGTTTATAGATTGTATATGATTTTAGACTATAATTTTGTCGATTTTTGTTTATATTTAATGACTTACAAGCCACCCGAAGTCGGGATATCAATGCTGGAATTTTTCAATTTTTTTTTTTTGTACTTTGTATTTTGTATTCTTTAAATTTTCTAAAACATGTATATATTATTCGTTTAAAGTCGTTTTAGCATTCGGTGTATAAGTAATTATAAATTATTATTTTTTTATCTAAAACGAACAACCAAAACCAAAACATATTCGTTTTAAGTCTCGTAATAGATAAACTAACTTTAGCATAAAAAAGTACTTTCAATAGGGATTCAATGACTTGATCATATGCACCTAGATTTGTACTAATCCAATGTGTACAAGAACCAAAAATTCGAACCTAGACCCGATAAGCCTCCACATGTCCGGTTCAAATGTTCATCCCTACATGTAACTCTAACAATTTGGTTTGTTAAAGTTATTAAAGAAATTTGGATGTAAAATATATAAAATACTAGGCGAATCACCACACGTTGTTCAGGAAAGCAATTACATAGTTAAATATGTTAGAATTTACGATTTGTCAACGTTTTTTTATGCATTTTCCATATTGTTATCAGTAACTTTTTTAAACATGTCTTTGTCAACAACAGTGAGCAGACAACAATGATATGATATATTGTGTAATGTGTCCGATTAAAAATTACGATACATGTGTTATATTAATATTATGATAAAGATCATAAAATTGATACCAATTATATATATATATATATATATATATATATATATATATATATATATATATATATATATATATATATATAAAATGACATTGTAATACCAAAAATTATTTAATACATCGTTTGTTTTTGTCATATTGCAATAGAAGGTTATATTTATATGTTGATAAAAATGAAACAATCTCAACGGTACATTCCAATATACCAAACTTTATATACTTAAATGTATGATATATAAATGAATTAAGTTAACTTATCTTAGAATATGTCGTTTCAATTTTGAAAACAACAAAACTCATAGTAAAATTGAAGTGTTTTGATGTGATTGAACACACACACACGTGTGTGTGTGTGTGTGTGTGTATATATATATATATATGAAATAAGAACCTCTTTTAAAAAGCCTCTCCAACGATTTTAGAATTTACCTTGTTGTCGTCGCTTGTCTTCAACAATGGGATCAAACGTCGGAGACTTCTTGATTAGCGATCAACGCATGTGTGTTTTTCATGGTTGGCAACGACAAGCGTGGAAGAAGTAAGCCTGATTCGAATTATGCACGACATGTCAACAAGTTATTTGTTCTGTATTTTGTTATGAATTTCCCTACTGACGTTGATAGTAAGGCCTTATGGTCCATATGTGAGAAGATTGTGATTGTGTCAGATGTTTATGTGGCTCGGAAACTATCAAAACTCGGTAAGAGATTTGGTTTTTGTAACATTCGTAAAATTCATGAAAATTTTAAACTATTCAAAGAATTACACAAACCACCATTGTTTACAAAATAGTTTTCAAAACATATTTATTATCAGAGTTTTCCCATAATCATAAAACGAAACACGAGGAGGTGCATGATCACGCCTTTTCCTTCCCGCAATCATCTGAGGTACCTGAAACATAACCTAAAACTGTAAGCCCAAAGCTTAGTGAGTTCCCCCAAAATACCAACCCAACATAAAACCAAAATAATAACATTAAACAGTATGCATACAGAGCCTTCAGTCTGACTGGAACGCCCCACCGGTCTGCAGTCTACCTGGTACGCACACAAAACCTACAGCATGATTGGCACGCCACATCGGGCCTTCAGCCTATCTGGAACGTTCTCCGGGCCTTCGGCCTGACTGGTACGCCCTACTGGCCTTCAGTCTATCCGGGACGCCTTGGGTCTGTTGGTCTTCAGCACAAAGCAGGACCGCCTTAACCAAACCACACATACACCGTGTCGACACACATATATAACGTATAATCATACAATTAACCAGCCAATAACAAGCAGACTGATCTTACATATCACTAAGCATAGCATCATCCTATCTACCAAGATACAAATCTAACAAATCACTACTGTACTCAATCATACGATAATCAGGATAACAATCCAAAGGGTCGGCCTTGGTACCTTCGACCCATAAGTATAGTGAGGAAAACTCACCTCACACTGCTGAATCACACTGAAAGTCTCCGGCTGTTGGCTCACTAAAATCCCCGCGTTATCACAACAAAATAATCATCCAATTAACAATTGGATTACAACTAAGGCTAATAGTCCATCATTAGGGTAAAAGGCCACTTTACCCTTTTCCCTAGTTGGGCTAAGACCCAGACCCAAATCTTGATCCAAAAGGCCCAAAACTAAGTAATCACTCAAGGCCCATAATCAGCCCAATTTTCCAAATTGGGCCCAAACTCCTACTTGGGCCTTACTCTAAGGCCCATCTCTTCAATTAACCCAAAACACCCATACTCAGATGGTCCAATAAAGGCCCAGACATCCAAGCCCAAAAGGTGGCCCAAAACTCGAAGCTTAAACTCCTAAACCCAACAGACTGAGTACGCGGTGCGTACCCAGCTGTATGCTTAGCATACACCGCCTTGACCAAGAACGTGTTGTTGACCACCTACGCCTTGGTACGCCCAGCGTGCATAATGGCCATGCAAAACTTCGAATAAGAGCTTATTTCATTCAGTCCAAACGTCCAATAACCATATTCAAGTCCAAGAAGGTGCTCTTAACCATAAAGTTTCCAACTTTATGGTTATGCATGCATCATTGAGACCCAAAACCAACCTCCTAGTTGGTCTTAACCACTAAGTACCTCTACACTTTGCATGCAAGCACTAAATGAGTCAAGAAAGCATTTTTATGACTTAACACAACTCAAATCTTCTGAAAAGGTAGCTCCTTTAGTCTTAGAGTAGCATTTACTCATCAAGTCCAAGAAAAGGGGACAAACTCATGAAACTCCATATGGCTAGATCTCTAAGAAATACAAGTAAAGTTCAAGACTTTATACCTTCTGGAGCTTCCCAACGAGATGAAGATCTCAGATCTATAAGCTTGAATCCCACACCAAAGCTTCTTAAAGAATCTTTTCTTCTTTCTTAAACACTAAGAACACACACACACACACTCAAGCTCAACAGACACAAGGTCTAGGGCTTGCAAAAATCGACTCAAAGATGTAGAGGCTGAAAGGGTGAGGGAAATGAGGTTATAAGGGGGGTTATATAGGGCTCAACCCTAAAAACTAGGATTTTCAATGTTTGATGAGTACTCCCCGTGTACGTTGACGTACGCGTACTAAGGCGCGTCCTAGTACGCTAAGCGTACACACATACGCATTGTGTACTCTGACTCCTTCCAAATTACGGTTTTGCCATTAGGGCTTCTCATGGCTATTTCCTTCTATTACAGGGACCAAAATGAAATAAATTAAAACCATAAGGATGAATTTGAAAGTACCTGAATATCGGGGTGTTACAACTCTCCCCCACTTGAAATAGACTTCGTCCTCGAAGTCTGTTGTAGTGAACAACTTGGGATAATTCTCCCGCATCTCAGCCTCCGACTCCTAGGTCCACTCGGAGCCCATCCGGTGCTGCCACCGTACCTTTACCAAAGGTACTTTGTTGCTATGCAAAACCTTTACCTTCCTTTCCAGAATAGCTACCGGCCTCTCAACATAGTCCAGGCGTTCATCAACCTGAATATCATCCAATGAAACCACCGCATCCACATCCAATAGGCACTTCCGCAACTGCAAAACATGGAAAGTGCTGTGAATCTGACTGAGCTCCCCAGGAAGATCCAATTTGTAAGCAACCTTGTCAACCCTGGCGATCACTTGAAACGACCCAATATATCGGGGACCCAATTTTCCCTTCTTCCCAAAGCGTATCACACCTTTACAAGGTGAGACCTTCAGTAACACCATGTCGCCGACCTGAAACTCCAACTTGGATCGGTTCCGGTCGACATAGCTCTTCTACCGACTCTGAGCAGTCTGCAATCTCTGTTTGATCTGCTGAATCATATATGTGGTTTGAAGGACCACTTCGATCTGCCCCATAACCTTGTGACCAACCTCGCCCTGGCAAACCGGGGTACGACATCTTCACCCATACAAGAGCTCAAAAGGTGGAGTGCTAATGTTGGAGTGATAACTGTTGTTGTAGGAGAACTCCGCAAAAGGTAGGTATGAGTCCTAGCTCCCACCAAGATCGATAACACAGACCTGCAACATATCCTCAAGGGTCTGTATCGTCCACTCACTCTGGCCATCGGTTTGTGGATGATAAGTTGTGCTGAAGTGCAACCTCGTGCCTAGTTCCTCATGGAACTTCTGCTAGAAACGGGAGGTGAATCGAACATCGCGGTCTGAGACAATGGAAGCCGGAACCCCATGGCGAGCAACGATCTCGCGAACATACACATTGGTCAATCGATCCACGATGACCCATATAGTATCAAAACCCTTCCTCGTCTTAGGCAACTTGGTGACGAAATCCATCGGAATCTACTCCCATTTCCACATAGGAAACTCCAGGGGCTGCAGCTTGCCATGCGGCCTCTGATGCTCAGCCTTGACCATCCTACAGGTCATGCATCTCTCCATATACCAAGCTATCTCCCTCTTCATACACGACCACCAATAGCTCAATCTCATATCCCGGTGCATCTTGGTGCCCCCCGGATGGATAGAAAAATGAGACTTATGAGCCTCCTCCAATACAATCTGTCTGACCCCACCAGACATTGGAACCCAGACCCGACCACATCGGGTCAACAACCCACGACCATCCGAAACAAATCTGGCAATCTCACCCCTGATCCTCTCTTTCTTCCAATTCTCTTCCCGAACACCCTCGGCCTGAGCCTCCCTAATTAATCCAAAAAGCGGAGAATCCACTAATATCCTCATACACGATACCCAATCTGACGACCCATCCGACTTTCGGCTCAAGGCATCCGCCACCACATTCGCTTTACCCGGATGGTAAAGGATCTCGTTGTAACGCTCGCGGATTCAGGCTAGTCAATTTAGAGACAATGAGCGTCAAAAAAGACTTTTTGATAGAAGATTATTTAGAATTAATAATCTTAACCAAGTTATAGTATATGTCACAAGGTTCCGTACATATAAACGCTGAAATCCGAGTTATTAAGAAGAAGTTATGACCCGTTGAAGTTTTACGGCTAAACCGGCACGGCACCGCGTAACGTAAAAGTGAATTTTTGATAAATTAATTTTTAGCCATAGAGACCTAAACGAAATCCATATTATACATTAAACCGAGAACGTACATAAAAATAACGTCCAAATCTGACTACGTATGAGAAAGTTATGATTTTTCTAAGATTTAGCATAACAGTGCACAGCCCGAAAATCGAAT